TCCTGCTTCCTACCATACCTAAGCATGGACACAAGAACAACTGATCCTCCTAATCATGGTTATGCTCACAGCATGCCCAGATTGCCACCCAGTGCCAGGGGGCCCCCTCTCTACATTCAGGAAGCTAAAATCAAACATCCCATGGGAAAAAGTTAAATCATAACTTTACAGCTAAAGGAAAATACAAGAGATGTCCCAGTGCAGCCTATGATCCAATTCCAAGTGAGAACAGGAAGTACCCTTGTGCTCTCCAAGCGAGCACACTGTGGACCAGAGGGGTCAAAGATGAGTCACAGGTTAGTTCCAAAGGGAGTCACAGCCTCCAGGGGCCCCAGGAAGCCGGGGGTCAGGCAGAAAGCACCCTACCCAGTATTTTTCCTGTCCTCAGCATCACAAATATCTGACCTCTAGGGCCCCGTAGCTTCCTTTATTTTCTTGTCCCAGGACTAGCCTAGCACAGGACCTGGCTCCCTGATGCCTGCTGTTGCTTTCCCGGTGGTCTCTTGAGGAATCAGGTGCTTGGGAACATCTGGAAAGGACCTGGGATCATAGCCCTGGAGATGGAAGAGGGGAGCAGGGAGTTATCAGGTGGTAGTTAGGGCGGGAATTTGTCAGATTTGTGGGTAGGGAAGAGGATCTGGGTTTAATTGGGCACAGAGGAGGCCCTTATTGGGGGAGCTGAGCCTGGAGCCCACCTTCCTTCCCCTCAGGAATGGGGAGGACAGGGTTGTGGGAGCACTGGGTGTCATCATGTTCCTGAGGGGAGCAGAACTCCTGAAACATTGGGCAGAACACTGAAAACTTGGGTGGGTGTGGAGAGGCCAGAGTGTACACATTTCCCCCTGGAAGTTATGCCTTAGCTCTGAGTGTCCTCATCACAGTGCCTATCACTTGTCACCCTCAGGAGGGAGGTGGGGCTATAGCGTCCCTGCTCCTCTTCGCTCCCCCTTGCCAACCAGAGCCTCTGTTTTTGAACTCCGCAGGTTTCCATTGGTCATGTCTCCTCCTGTAGTCAAGGCTTGGTCTAATTGTGCTCCAAAACTACAGAATGATCTAATCAACATGCCTATCAGCCTGGTCCTGGAGAAATGGACAGGATCCAAAGGCTAAATTATATATCCTGCAAACATTCTTCTTTCACATGAGACTAATAAAAAGTGGACTTGAATAATGGAAAAATACATTAATTCTAACAGAAGAAAATAAATATGTTTTGCTTGTATTGAGGTGAAGGGTTCAACGGAAGATCTAAAGTTTATTAATATCCATACGGAGAAATGGATTAATATAAATAGTTGTGGAAGGTGGCAGTGAACAAAACAGCAAACAGGAAAGACAAGATAATGAATTGGGGGCTTCAATAGCTTCCCCTCCGCCATGTATGTGTTGTAGTTTCAACTCATTATGTAAAGTTTCTAATTCAAATTTATGATGCAAAGAAAGTTTATGATTAATAATTTATTCTTACCATTTCATCTGTCTCCAAAAGGTTATAACTGATTTCAGAGAGTGAAGAAGGCAGAAGGAGAGAGAGACAGAGAGACAGAAACATCAATGATGAAAGAGACTCATCAATGGGCTGCCTCCTGCATGCCCCACACTGGAGATTGAGCCTGCAACCTGGGTATGTGCCCTGACCAGGAATTGAACTGTGACCTCCTGGTTTATGGGTTGACACTCAACCACTGAACCACACTAATCGGGCCAAAAGGTGAAATATTTTGAAAGACTTAGTTTGTCTCAAACTGCTTTGGCACTCACTAAGAAAGATGTAATATAGAAACAAACAAGCTAACGCCAAAATAATTATTTTCCAAACCCATTAAGTTAGCTAGGGTGCTAAGAAGTATTAACTGATGTGAGCAATGATTACTTTGCAATAGCAGAACAGTTTTCAGCATACAGAGTGGAGATTTGTATATCCTAGAAAAAATGTAATTCACCCTCATGTACTTCCCTCTACCCAGTAGAAAATGAGCTCCATTAAGGTGGGATGGGTCTCATTCTTCTTGGCTCCACAGCACCTGTTGGAGTGTCCGGTACAAAACAAGATCCTCAGAACTATTTGCTTTACTGAGCCATTAGAGAAATTAAAGAGTCCATAATGTCTCTTCTGTATAGCTCACATGCGCAGGGTGTATATCTATCTATATTCTGGGTTTCCACTGTCAAATGGTCAGAGATGGCCCTTTCCCTATTCTCAAAAGCAGGGCTACTTGAACAAGCAGGTGTCCACCATAGGTGTTGCATGATTTCAACTCACATTTATTGAGAGCCTGCCTTGTGCTTAATGTTGTGGCTGAGACAGCATTCCTCGTCTAGGAGCTCAGGCCGCTGGGAGCTCTGGAGGCCTGGCCTTGCCAGCGGGACTCAGTGGAGTGAAAAGTGAAATAAGACTTGGATCCAGATCTGAGGGTGTTGGCAAAATCAGAGGAGGGAGCAGAGCAGGGAGTGGAGGCAAATGCCCCACGGAGTGTGAAACTACCCTCATGAAGAAAATGATGTTTCTTTCTTTATAAATTGTAAAGCATCATTTCCTTTGAGTACGCTTATATTCGTTGAGGATTAATGAGTTAAATTTGTAATTTCCTGCCATTTCTTACTGGCATGCTCTATTTCAATTAGAACATTGTTAACTATAAGGCTTACTTGTGTAAAAAAGATTTTGCCTGGAAATACATGGATTTATAACTCTGGAGAAATAGGGATGTTTCGGGAGCTCCTGCTGATGAAGTTACCCACCAGCTTTCAGGAGGCAACATCAGGGTTCTGGGTGAGATCAAGGTTAGACCCCATTTTGCTCTTGAAGGACATGTCACCTTGGGCACAGCACACTGGAAGTTTCCTTACTTTAAAATGTAGATAAATACCACGG